CTGAGTTAAGCCATTTAAATCACAAACAGACATAAGAATCAGACACTTGCAATATTCAAGGCAGGGTCGATGATTAGATCTCTTAGCTTCTCAATCCATCCAAAGCTCAACTGCACAACATGGTACACAAAGCCAGTAGTGAGTCAAATCAATGATGGGTATCCAAAATTGTGCGATTTACAAAGTTTTTGTTCTTTTGAAGCTGAAGAAATGAGCAGAGAGGATAGAGTAATTGAGCTAGACAATGAAGAAAACTTAACATTAGTATTAGCAAATTTAATGTAATGTGTGATTGAATATATGAACAATGAACATTTCTTGAACTGGTAAAGATGTGAAATTGAGAAATCCAAAGAAGCATATTCCTCTATTTTAGACCAATAATCAAATCAGGCTCATGACGAATCTTACAAACCCTAGATTGATCAATTTTCAACAAAGCTACATTGCAGCAAATTCCAGATTTTGAGTGAATTTCACTTTACCCTTGGCTATCGAGATTTCCATGACCGCTACTTGCTCCGCTTCCATAAGACACATCATCTCCGGCGGTTGAATTCTGCCAAACGCTCTGCCACGCCTGAGACGGAGGCTGAGCATAAACTCCGGTAGGATCCATCGCCGGTCTTCCGATCATCATCCCGCCAGGAACCGCCGGTTGACCCATCGGCGGATAATAATAAGGAACTCCGCTGGCGGCGGGAGCCACCATACCTCCGAGAGCCGCCCCAGCATCTTCCTCTTCCTTAATCTCTTCCCTAGGAACAATATCAACAAGGAAATCGAAGATATCGGTTCGAGTAATCGCAGCAGCGATATCGTTTTTCTGAAGCGTACGGCGTTTATTCTCTTCGGCGTGAAGCCAAGATCTGATCGTAAGCTCGAGGATGAAAAGCTCACAAGCTTTAGCGAATAGGATCGGTGCTTCGGCGGAAATCATACGAACATCTTCGTCGGCTTTCATGATTTTTTTGATCCGAGCAAGAGGAAGCTGATGGTTTTTGAAATCGTTCACCTGTTCGATCTCTTGACGCTGGTAAGTCCAGAACATTTGAAGCTGTTGAAGCTGTTGCTGGAGGAGATGGTGGTAGGAGGCTCCTCCTCCTCCGGTGACGATTGAGGTGGATCC